TCGCGACGCGGGAGGCTGCTGAGGTGCTGCATGTGGCTGAAGCCTGGAGTCAGGGCCATTAAGTCGCTGAATTCGTCTGGCACCGTTTAAGGTTTTTTTGATGGCTACATTCTGTAGTAAAAGTACACGTGCTTCCCTGCGCGACGGGTATTGTGGTAGGCATCCATCTGTTCCTGCCTGGCCTCGAGCGTCCTGGCACACAGTTTGACGAACACCTGTGTGCTCTTCACTTTGAAGCAGTTGTGGTGTCACGATCCGTGCAGTTGCAGAAGCGTGCCACTATGTCACGAGGCTTGTGTCAGTCGCTCGATACTTTACCTACGCGATAAACTCGCTCAAAGTGTTTAATATGTGTCATAGAAATTTCGCCAGCTTCCCCTGGCATTTCTCCTACGTCTCCTCCGCCTCCTCGGGTAGTCCGGAAATACGCAGATTATTGCGCCTGCTCTGATCCTCTTGATAATCCAAGCGATCTTCGTGGTTCACTCTGTTTTCCTCTGCTGCCAGTGCCTTTCGTTTTAAGGTTGTTATTTCATTAGAGAGATGTTTGTTCTCGTGCTAATGCATTAAGCCTGTCAGTTAGGTCATCCACTCTCGCTTGAGTAAATTTAACTCTTGTTAACCCAACCGCCCCGGATTTATGATCTGTCCCCATTAGTTTTTTGTGAATTTTGTTACATACTGATGGCTCCACGTGTATTTAGCCGACAAGGAGGCCCTAGTGATCGATCCTGATTTCCCCATTCCTTGAATTGGTGGGAAAATGTGTTTTTCTTTTTAATACAGTTGATATCGCTACTGTTATTATTGTTTTTGATGTTATGATTATTTATTGTTATTAAAATATTGGTAACATCTAAGAAATAATGCAAAAGACCCTTTCCAAAAGTTAAGGAAAAAGGTAAACAGATGAGATAGGTCAGAGTGACTAAGCACTTGTAAAGCCATCTGTGTGTAAATACAGTAAACTTATATCACAGTGGGCATGACATGTATTCTTGCTATACGTGCCGAGTGGGTTAATATCATTTAACTCACATTCATAGAGTCTGCGATGCTCAGCATTTGCACGTTCAATCCTGTCCAATACATCATTAAATGTTTTCCTCTGTTCTTCGAGTATTAAAATGACATCAGGTTGGGTGTGGGCGGCAGCGGGCACCGGAGGAGTGTTATTGGTCTGCTTGCCGGTCGCATTGTTTCCAGGCATGGCGGGGGGGGGGGGGGGGCGAGAAGAGAGAGAGAGAGAGAGAGAGAGAGAGAGAGAGAGAGAGAGAGAGAGAGAGAGAGAGAGAGAGAGAGAGAGAGAGAGAGAGAGAGAGAGAGAGAGAGAGAGGGGGGGGGGAAGGAGGGAGGGAGAGGGTAGGAGGGAGGGAGAGGGAAGGAGGGAGGGAGAGGGAAGGAGGGAGGGAGAGGGAAGGAGGGAGGGAGAGGGAAGGAGGGAGGGAGAGGGAAGGAGGGAGGGAGAGGGAAGGAGGGAGGGAGAGGGAAGGAGGGAGGGAGAGGGAAGGAGGGAGGGAGAGGGAAGGAGGGAGGGAGAGGGAAGGAGGGAGGGAGAGAGGAAGGAGGGAGGGAGAGGGAAGGAGGGAGGGGGAGGGAAGGAGGGAGGGAGAGGGAAGGAGGGAGAGAGAGGGAGGGAGGGAGAGAGAGGGAGGGAGGGAGGGAGGGAGAGAGAGGGAGAGAGGGAGAGAGAGGGAGAGGGAGAGAGAGGGAGAGAGAGAGAGAGAGAGAGAGAGAGAGAGAGAGAGAGAGAGAGAGAGAGAGAGAGAGAGAGAGAGAGAGAGAGAGAGAGAGAGAGAGAGAGAGAGAGAGAGAGAGAAAAGCACTATGGCGAAAACCCATCAGGATATGTGAAAATTCCAAATATGGCTTTATGATATAATTCTTTGAAAGTTTGGACATTTAACAAGAAGAGGTTAAAATAACATTTACATAATCATATTGTCTTAGCCAGAAATATTCAATTTAGGAAGCATTCACTTATATCCATTATCCATATTCTTACAGTGGCAATAATAATAATAATATTTCACACTAATCATTTACACATTTCAAAAACTTCTGGTACATAACTATCACTTCTACTGACACACTCAATGATATGTATACAGTAGCTTTCACTGCAAGTGCTGCTTTATCAGGGAAATTTATATACATTATCTTATTTAACACCAATATTTTAGACATAATACTCTTTACATTAAGCAGCATAGAAAGAAGGCTTAAATCTCTGTTTCTTTGTAACAATGACTTTGCAGATCCTTACTCAATTGATTTAGCTACTGATAAAACAAGTTCTGTAATTTCATAAAAAAATCTGAGTAATGACTAGATATTTTATGTTGTTTATATCATCTACGTAACACAAACTATGCAATAATTCCTATTCATATTGTCATAACACTATATTATTATCTCGTGTTACAAATCACAATCTTTTGGCCATCCTTCATTATATTTTGTTTCGTTAACTTTCAAACTTCATTACTTTCTAATGAAAAATGTACTGTGTATAAAACAAATGTAATTGTTCCCCCAATTTAGCAACAGAATATTGTATTTAGGGTTATGAGTCCTATTTGTTTGCTAAAAAAGAAGAAAAAAGCTGTCATGAGAATTCACTGTACAGTGACAAAAATTACTCCATGTTTACAGTTTTTTTTATAAATAACAAAAAACCCTTGTCATATTAGTATAACAGGACAAAGTAGCTCATTACAAGATATTGCATAGCAACCAAAACTAACATTGTATTCCATGCAAGAATAACTAGCAATGGAGAATAACAAGTTTTGACATTGTCAATAACTTTCAAGGAGTTTGCACCTCTTAGTGAACTCTGCATCCAAAAATACTTGCAAAGAAAATCAGCTGTGGGGAAGCTGATTGACGTGACACTATTTCAAGAATAAAGCAGCAAATAAAACTATTTCTTCATCTAAGAAGGTAATACAAAAATTTTATCTTATAACCTGAATTACTATTATGATACAATATTTATTACCAGCTTTGCTTTAAATTCCAATTAACTGAAATGAAGAGTGGTCATAACGCAAAAGTATTTGCTTATCATTACCTAAAATAATTATTATCCGATACATATTGCAAATTTTCAGATACAAATGAGAACTGATTGATACAAGGTGGGTGCACACATGCATTGTGTTCTTGTTATACTGAAACAGCTTCAAGTGTTTACTCTTCTTACACTTTATAACTCTGGCTAGAAAAAACTGAACTGGTTAGGTCAATGGGGCAGTTGTCACTTTCAAAATAGGCTGGATGGTGAAAGGACTGTGATCCATTCAGATTTAATTTGAAGGGAGGAAAATCCACACGGCCTAAATCTATCTTTATCCTCTAAAAAAGGACTTGCTATAGCCTTGCAAAATGCTGTGGGGGCATATACAGGCACTTTGCTCTGCCTCCTTAAGATGCAGATATAGTTGCTATTGATGATGGAGAGAAAAGGGAGCCTAATATAATAATACTACCTAATTAACACTGAGTGTCAAAATAATTGGACTTACTTGCCTGTTCACTTAAGCTATTGAGTTTAATACTAGAGGATAGCTAGTAATTATAAAAAGTAATCATAATAAAAATCCCTGTATGAGACCATGATAATAACCAAGGCAGAAAATGAGAGAATGTGACAGTAACAAAAATAAAGATCATAAATCATAGTTAGCTAGACAGTGTGCTGATGTGTGTCTATGTTATAATCAGTAGTTCTCTGCAGCAGTGAACATAATAATTTTACCTAAGAGTTCCACAGATTCTTCTGAATGTCAAAGAATTAGTGCAAAGACAGCCATACCAAAGAATTGTACTATAGACAAGAAATTATTGGAGTACTTTCTTAGCCAAAAATAACACTGCTATGTACTGCATAAATCCTGGACATTTGTACATAAAGAAGTGTACCAAAACTCAGTATTCTAATATCCAAAAACTAGAATCTCTCATATCACATTTATTCACAATTCTAACAATTACAGATCAACAAGTCTTCCTGCAGTGCATATAGACAATATCACAAAGCAACATGCTTGCTAAATTACAAAATAAGAATAATTTACATAGGCTGTCGCACCTAAACATCACACAACCATTATCTTTACACCCCATCTAACTGCAAACATCATTCATTATCTGGCATGCTGACTACTGGTCCTCTCCTTGCTCGAGCTGTCATGCGAAACCTGAAAGACCGTGCCTGTGAGCGGACAGACACTGTGGTTTGGAGCACAGGCAGGGTGAGCCATTACACCATTAGGGTAGATCAAGAACTCACACATGTTGAATCCTCGATTGCATACACAACAGATTCTGTAACAAGAGATAGCATAAAAGAATGAATAAGAGAGTGAGAAAAAAAAGATCATTTGTGCACGTAGCAAAAGCAAAAAATAATAATTTGTACATCATGTTTCACTAGATCTATTTAGTTTAATTTTTTTTTTCTTTAATGACCCTGCCTTAATCCAATGTATTTCCATTAAATAAAATATTTTATATTTGCAATAACATGAAAGTAATAAATAAGATATTTTATACTTGCATTACTATGAAAGTACATAATTATCAATTTCTTGAACTAAAACATACCTGTTCACAGCTAATGGTATGGGGCCCATATCTCTGGAGAGTTTGTACAGTATAAATTTCTGCTGTAAATTCTCGCTCTTTACTAATGTCTGCTGTATTCTCTTAATGCGGCTCTGTATGGATAATAAACGTAAACACTTATAACTATTTGAAACATTTAAAATTTTGGTGTAATCATGGAAAATAAAAAGAAAATAGCAATGGTAAAGACAAGTTTCTACATAATACACACACACACAGTGTGTGAGGTGTATGTGCACGTGTGTGTACGTGCATGTGTGTGTGTACGAGTGTGTGTGCACATGCGCGTGCGTGCATGCGTGTGTGTGTGTGTGTGTGTGTGTGTGTGTGTGTGTGTGTGTGTGTGTGTGTGTGTGTGTGTGTGTGTGTGTGTGCGTGTGCGTGTGCGTGTGCGTGTGCGTGTGGGTGTGCGTGTGGGTGTGCGTGTGGTGTGCGTGTGGTGGGTGTGCGTGTGGGTGTGCGTGTGGGTGTGCGTGTGGGTGTGCGTGTGGGTGTGCGTGTGGGTGTGCGTGTGCGTGTGGGTGTGCGTGTGGGTGTGTGTGTGCATGTGCGTGAGAACCATAAGCCTACAGGCAGCTTTTTCATATCTGTGTGTGCATGTGTTGATATCTGTATTTCTTTCTGTTTACACAAACCACTCATATCATACCTGATGCATTGAGGTCCGAAGTGCTGCACGCAAGTAATGGTGTACAATACTCAGTGACCAATTAGGAGGTAGAAGAGATAATACTGATGATACTTCTAGGTCCCCTGCATGGACAGACAAAAGTTCGATCGCTGGGGCTAGTTCTATATCATCTTCTGTGCCTCTGTTTGGGAAATTACAAAAAAGTTATATTTGTCAGTCAAAAGAAAAAAGAAGAAGAAAAAGAAAAACAAAGAAATGAAAAAAAGGAGAAAAAATAAAATAAAATAAAATAAAATAAAATAAAATATAATATATATATATATATATATATATATATATATATATATATATATATATATATATATATATATATATATATATATATATATACACACACACACACCATTTTTTTTTACCTCATTTCAAGTTCAACATTATATCCATGACAACAGCAGACACACTCACCCAGGTGGAGGTCTGAGGTAAATCTTAAGAAGTATGAGAAATATGTTTGACTTGGTTGTGTTGCTTGCTCCTTTACTCTGTGCAATGCAGTACTGTTCAGCAGCAGCGAAGTCTTTCAGCTGGTGCACTAACATCGAGAGAGCCTTTTCATGTTCTCCTAGCTGTTGGAGAAAAGAAGCTTTCGTAATCTTTCCTTTTCATGTAAGAAGGTTCTCACAAAATCATTCATACACTAATACTTTGTAATTTACAAGTTTTATATCAAGAGCAACAGTGAAACCTGTATTATCAAGTGTAAAGTATCATAGACCACACCTGTTTATTTAAACAATCATTTAGCTGAGAAGATTATTATCAAGGACTAACTAAACCTTTGTTTTCAAAGGAAATTTTATATTTGTGTTATATTACTTATCTGTTTCAAGGTAACTCCAAATTTTGTGAGATAAACATAGGCAAACAATATTAATAATCTATTTATTTTATTACAACTATACTCCTTAAATGTAGAAGACATTAATGCTCCTCACTTTTTAAGATAAAACATCCTACTAAAGCTCTATTACTTTATAGCTGATATTAAATTGGCATATAATGTACCTTATAATTGTACAACATCTTAAGAGTTTAGCACTTCTAATATATGTATCATGCAATAGAGCAAAAAAAAAAATTCTTCCTTCAGTTCACTGACTACATACATTTATTAGCTTTTTATAAAAACCCTAATATCTACAAAACAGAGAATACTCAGCAGTGACCCTAAAAACAAAGGAACTGAAAATTCATTATATCTTACCCTCCCATAGACTGCAGCTATTTCAACATGTAATTCTGTGCCTTTCATCCGTGTAAGAACTGGTTGTGGCTGGTAATGGCTGGAGGAGGTCAAGAGGTCCTGAAGTTTACTCCTTGCCTCCTCCAGCTCTTCAGGTGAGGCTGATTTGTCATTCATGAGTCTTATTGCCTCATCTACATAGTGCAAGACTAATTCTGTATGGTATTTTTCCTCCTAAAAAAAAAAGAAAAAAAAAAAAGAGAATCAATTTATGAGCAGTAATAACAATTTCATAGTTTATGCAAACTGCTGTTTGTTCAATAATTAAGTTATGGTGTTATTAATCAATCTATTCATTGTCAATATCTTTTTTACTTTGTCTTGACAAGCAAATTCATCTAACCTGTAAGTTCTTTGTGTCTATAAGGTGGTGCAGGAATGTGAGTCTTGCTTGTGGATATCTTTGTAGAGTCTGAAGAACTTTGGAAGGATCTAATTGTGCCTGTGTTTCCATAAAGACACGGACACCTTCAGATGCATTACGGTCCAAAATAAAGTTTGCATAGCGCCACACTAGTCCAGCATCTGCAGAACTGTAGAAGAGAATTTACATATGAAAATGGACACATGCTACACTCATGTGCAGTGTATGATAAGCTGAAATGAAGAGAGTCTACATATGTATAAATGAAATTAATGAAATGTGTATACATAATAACACTGTATATTTGTTATTTTCCAAGTAAACTCAACTGAGAAAACTGTGGCTTATTTAAGTTTCATACTTACCAGTTCAGACAATCTACTAAATCTTGAATTCCACCAAAGTTTGAATCCTTAATTTCTTCTCTAACAAGCTGAGTGAGAACTTCCAGTGACTTTTCTAAATCACCAAGCACCCTGAAACAAAAATTCTCTATGCAAATTCGAAAGTTCATCGCTAGTACTCAGCATTAATTTAACAGAAAATTAATTATTCAATTTAAAAGCCAAT